TGACGTTGCGTCAAGTGACGTAGCCATGGTGACCGGTTGACCATTTTGTGTTTGAAATGGGATCCAACTACTTTGTAGAAATTCGCGTCATAGAGCTGGCAAAAGTTTCGTGCGGAGCATAGAGCATGAATATGTAGTTATTTAACATGAATAAAGTGTATGTTGTGTTAAGCGAAGTAACAGTGTGTATTTTTAATTAATTTCTGTTCGATGCTTATTCAGGCCTGCCGCCTATGGACGCCCACTACTGTTGTTCACCACCTTTACACTTTACCTCCGCAAAACGCTACGGGACCCCAGCCTAAAGGGCAAAAAATCATAAATCTAAAGGGTAAATAGCATTTTAGAGCATCTAGATTTAAAAATTGACCCCCCCCCCCCTTCACATTTCCTACCTCCGGCACTCGTGCCGTGCGCCTGCGGCATGCAACATGAACAACTCGCAGCTAGGACCTGCATACCTCCCAAATCCCCTTGGTTGATACAAATCACGTGCCTGAAACTCCCGTTTTAATAAAACTTTTATGGTGCATTGTGACCCTAACCCTAACACTAATTACAATTTAATTTAAAAAATTAACTAGATTTGTATCAACCAATGGGACGTTGGGAGGTATGCAGGCCCGAGCCGCGAGTACATAAACAGCGCATGTGCAACAACTGCTCGGACAAATAGCGCATACGAACAGGTGTCTGATGCTCGGACGAATATCCACGTCGTATACATATATGTACCTCGGGTACATATCTGTAGTACCTGATACGACAACGTCCCCTTGAGCGTAACTATCTGATATGGTTAGGGTTAGGGTTAGGGAGTAGGCGTAGGTGACTCCCTAGACTCGTTAGTGGAGTAGGCGAGGTACGGTCCGGCATATTAGATAGTACCAGGGTACGTTCCGGTATATCGAACTGTACCCAGGGTACCCTACCCTCCGTTATAAACCGACCAGGCTCTCCGACTGTTACACGTCGTAGGTCAACGTAGTGTTAAGCGAGAAGGAAACTTGTGGCTACCTCCGTTGTAGCTCTAGAACTATAGCCCTCCGCTCCGCCGCAGGGCTATAGAACAAACTATGGCAATTTCCAGGGAGTAAGCAAAGACAACTTTTTGCGGTTAATAACTTCTTCGGTACGCCAAATAAAGAACATTCTCTGTCGCACAAATGTCTCAAGTTACTATAAACACTACAATTAAACAGCAAACTATCGCATAAATGTTGTACTTGCTATATTACTCGTCGACGAAGATTGTTTATCAACTTTCAACTGCCATTTTTCGTTGCGCAGCGCTAGCGCAGTTCCGGCGCTTGTGAGCGGGCACAATGTATTTCCAAGTGGAGGGGTGGGCGCCAGTTAGCGCCGGTGGCTTGCAAACCTGCCACGTTTTTGCGGTTGCCGCAGCGCGAGCGCGGTTTGCAACGCCAGTGCCAACCTGCCCACCCTTCCACTTGGAAACACATTGTCTTTGCTTTACCCCTGGAAATATGCCCATAGTTGTCTCTAACTCTCTATAGCCCTGCGCTTGGCAAAGCCTTATAGTTCTAGAGCTACCTCCGTTATAGCTCAAGGAACACGGTATGCCTTAGTAGAAGTTCAGAATACCGCTTCAATTCTTGCCCACAATTCCATTCCGTAGCTTCGGCTCGGTATCCAACATCGACACAGCTAGCGTACATGTAATATAGCTAACGAATCTATAAACTCTGGCTTGCTCGCGGTAACTGGTCGCTACTGGGCGCCGTCATTATTTATTGAGTATCGCCGGTTGTTCTTGAGCATGAATTGCGATTCCACAAACAACCAGACAGCCGCCATGTCGGCCATGTTCAGTGCAACTAAACAATCGGCAATGGCCACCTGATTTCCCAGTGCGTAGGCTAAGAATACAGACGCAAGCGTATACATATCGTCGCATGGATAAGTTATGAAGTGTGTGAATGACGGTTTCGCTGCGTTTTTAATGCTGTATTAAATATTATATATACTATACGAGTAAGATTGCCATGCTCGGTATTTATGCCGCGCTACGCATAGTTGCAACGCTATGGTTGTGTCTATGTCGTCTTCGGGTTTTCCGGTGCACGTTCGAAAAGCATGCCGCATGCAAACATGGCGAGTTGAGGCGGTTAGTGTGAAATTTCGGTTCGCTCTTGAATTTACACTGTTGCCAGCAGACAAACTGAGCGTATGAGTTTTAATAACAACCGCTGGCAAATACTATCAGGTGAAGGTTCATATGCATACAAAAACAAGCAGAAATGCTAGCTGATCATTTTTATTACTGCGATTACGTATGTCGGTAGTTTTGTACAGCTACAAGTTTATCAATGGATGGATGGTCAGCGGGTGTATTGACGTAGTCACACAGCCTGAGTCGGAGTTACCCCGTTCATAGGTCTAGCCTCCTATACCCACTGCGGCAGTTAATGAACGCGAGCCTATAGTACTAGAGCGTACCTTCCGTTATAGTGTTAACCCTGGGCGGATTAAGGGCACCCTCTAATTAAGCTTCTATATGCGGGACACTCGACATATTAGCTAGCGTCATGACATAGGCCCAGGGGGGACATAGGGGACCGTCTCACTCTCAGTCTCACTCTCAGCGCAAGTGGCATGCCCTAATGCTAACTTTATCATATAGGAGGCTATTGGAGAAAGCTTACCTCGTAACTATCTTATGTCTAAAGTCTCCCAAGCTTTTCATAGCGATATCATACAGCAAGAAATTGTTAATTCTTTTTTAATGTTTACATTCAACTGAAATTATTAACAGAGTCACGCCATTTTATAAGTAGTGGAAAGCGCCATCTCTGGTTATATAAACTAATATGCATTTTCAGACAAAATCGTGTTTATTCTGAACATTGTGTAATTTCTTGTAAATATACCGGTATCTTCACACTTACTATATAACTATAAGATTTATATATGTGTGTTCTTCTTCTATCATTATTGCTTACCAATACACATACCGACATCATATAACTCCTGCTCTAACACGTATTATATGACAGATAGGCTAAAGACAGAGACGAATAAAGACGTAAAACGCATTTAGTTGATATTTACCATTCTTATTTTTAATTTTTCGAGTTGTACCTACATTATAACGTACGTAAAACAATCACAAACATAAAAAGCTACACGCCAGTTTCATTAAGGTTACAGATATAGTCTCTCTCTCTCTCTCTCTCTCTCTCTCTCTCTCTCTCTCTCTCCTTCTCTCTCTCTCTCTCTTCTCTCTCTCTCTCTCTCCTCTCTTCACACACACACACAACTCTCTTCGCTCCTCCTCTCGCTCTCTCTCTGCTCTCTTCTCTCTCTCTTCTCCTCCTCTCTCTCTCCTCTCTCTTCTCTCCCCGCTTCTCTCTCTCTCTCTCTCTCTCTCTCTCTCTCCTCGTCTCTCTCTCCTCCTCCCAGCTCTCTCTCTCTCTCACCTCGCTCTCGCTCGCTTTCTCCTCACGCACAGCAAGCACACCACGTGCCACACAACGTCACACACACGCACGCAAGCACACACGCAACACCACACACAACACGCACGCACGCACGCACGCACGCACGCACGCACGCGAACACGAGCATGCATGCTATTATCATTTGCCTGCTATCATTATAAGTACATCATCATCAGACACAGCGGTTGAAAATTTCCCCAGTCAAAATTCCTCCCCTCAAAATTTCCCATTTTTTGTCATCTTCATTTTTATGCGATTATCTTTCAAACGTAAGGCCATGTTATTTGTGCCATGGCAGATATTTATCGAACGCCCAAACGTAAACATACAACGCCCCACACATCCCAATACATTGCACAGGGGTCGATAAAGGTCAAATTCTCCATGCACGCCTTACTAAATGCGCTCACGCCCATGCGCAAAGTAGAGAGGGGTGCTTTTGTTATAAGGGGGAATGTATATTATAATGCCATACCGTCACCGGCGTGTTTCGCACGCTCGTAGCGTGTCGTATATGACAGGGTTAAGCATTGTCATCATCATCGTCGTCATAGTTGTCATGGTCGTCATTGTCATCATCATTATCATCATCCTCATGATCTTTTTCCTCTTTGTTGTGGTCGTCGTCGTCGTCATCGTCGTCGTGGTCGTCGTCGTCGTCTTCTACTTTTTTTTTATTCTTCTTCTTCTTCATCATCACCACCACCATCATCATCACCACCACCATCATCATCATCATCATCATCATCATCATCATCATCGTCGTCATTATCATCATCTTCATCACCGTCATCATCAGCAGCAGCAGCACACACCTTTAGTAATCGTATATATGATACATCCTATCTGATAGCATCAGTAAGACAGCATTAGTACCGGCTCCGCGAGCGGTGCCAGGACCGGGGGAGGTATGAGGAGGGAGGAGGGAGGAGGGGCGGAGGAGGGAGCGGAAGGAGGCGGGTGGAGGGAAAGGAGAAGAGATCGATAGCATCAGTAAGGCAGCATTCGTACCGGCTCCGCGAGCGGTGCCAAGACCGGGGGGAGACAGGAGGGGTGGGGGAGGAAGGAGGAGGGGCGAGGGAAGAAGGATGCAAGAGAAAGCGGACATAGGAAGAAAGGAGGAGGCCGGGGAAAGGAAGCAGGAGAGGATAAGGGAGGAAAGATAAAAAAGATGGGCGAAGGAGGAGGAAGGAGGAGGCAAGAGAAAGCGAGCAGAAGAAAGGGGAAGGCTGCGGCGAAGGAGGCATAAGGGGAAAGGAGGAAAGTGTGAGGGCCGGGGTAGAAAAGAGAGAGGAGTGAGGAATGAGGGCGACAGAAGAACGAAAGGAGGAGGGAGGCAGGGCTAGAGGAACGAAGGAGCGACCCCCTCCCCCTCCCCCGCGCCTGCACCACTACGTACATGATCCCGACGCACGCACGCCACCGGATCCGGATCCAAGACCGGAAACAAAACCGGAACCGGAATCGGGAAAGAAACGGAACTGGAATCGGAACGGTAACCGGAAACCAGTGGCGTGCGCGTGCGTCGCGTTAGTCTATATATATATGCAATATATATATATATATATACATATACATATACATATATACACACACATATATATATACATATATCGCTATACACTGTACCGTTGTATCGTCGCGTGAGCGCCCCCTCGCGGGCAAAGCGCGCAATAAAAACGCGCCGACAACCGCCGCGCGCTAGCGGCGAGATCACGTGACCGGGCGACGACCGGCCACGTCACTTCCGGCAGTCGACTTCCGGTGGCCGCTGGAAGTCACATAATGGTAATAATCGTGGATCCTATTAATTGTTTTCAAAACACAGGAGAGAGAGCAGAGCTACTACGCACACACAGAAGTTTCCCCACTCGAGTTTCTTTCTCCCACTGCGTTTTTTTCGGCACGGCGCGCATGCGTCGTAGACGTGCGTCGCGCTTTCCACGACGCAATGCATCTCTCCTTTGCGTCGTCGTCGCCGCCGCGTCTCGGCCAACGTCCGACGTCGATTTCCGAGGTGACGTCACGATCGTCGTGACGTCACAGCGACGACGACAACGACGGCGAAGATTCGCGGTGACGTCACGATCGTAGTGACGTCATATCGACGGCTATGACGTCACGGTTTCTGTCCGCGAGAGAAGGAATGATATGAAATCGTCTGCTAGAGTGTACAGAGAGAGAGATGGGAGGACGATGCCGTCACAGCGATGAGTCATCATCACAGACGATCGGCTGCCGTCGCCGCGCGCGTTTATCACATATAAACGAATTACGAAAGGTCCTCGCCTCGGAATTATGACGATAATAATAATAATAATAATAATAATAATAATAGCAATCATGTTTTAACAAAAAAACACGGGGCAGCAAGGGAGAGAATGTATTTTATATGACAGGTTTCACTCTCGCCGGCCCCAGAAATGTTGTAACGCATGTGAGAAAATCGTGAACGAGATAACACGATCCAACATGCTGCAACATACTGCAATAGTTCTGCAACATTTCTGCAACACCTTGCAACATTCTGCTTTTTTTTCAGCAACAGTTTTGCAATTTTCTGCAACATACTGCAACATTCTGCAACAATTCTGCAACAGTTCTGGAATTTTGCAATTCTCGATCGCCTGTTTCTTGGGGACACACACAATAAATCGCGTCGCCTCGCCGACGATGGCGACACTCACGCCATCTACCGTTGCCGACCACCATCAGTAACAGACTGCACATGCGCAGTGCAGAATCGACGAACACGTCTGGACTCGCGCGCCCCAATGCGGGGACATTCTGTCTTCAACACGTTAAGAAACAACACTTCAACTCGAAACATTTCGATGTAATTACTAATTCATTCATTGGTTAATGATGCCACGTTGTCACGCCTACGATGACGTCATCCTCGGGTTCCGAACGCTCGCGGAAACGGCCGAAGTTGGCCGAAGTTAGCCGAACTTCTCTCTCTCCTACAAGGACGCCATGCTGTCGCTGTCATTGGCTGTGTTCGCTAGATGTTGACCACCAATCATCGGCGAGCCTGCGACGTTCAAAGTTATCTGCTCCACTCCTGCAACGACGAAAAGAAAGATAGAAAGAAGAAGAAGAGGAGGAGGAGGATGAGGAGGAGGATGAGGAGGAGGAAGATAAGGAGAAGGAGGATGAGGAGGAGGAGGAGGAGTTATCTGCTCCACCCCTGCAACGACGAAAGAGTTGTGAAAAAAGGGGCAAAAAGACGAAGAAGAAGAAGAGGACGAGAAAGAAAAACAAGAAGAAGAAAAACAAGAAGAAGAAGAAGAAGAAGAAGAAGAAGAGGACGAGAAAGAAAAACAAGAAGAAGAAAAACAAGAAGAAGAAGAAGAAGAAGAAGAAGAAGAGGA